ACACAAAAGGCAATGGAAAGCCAAAAAGAACATTTCAAGTGCAAAGCGTGTGAGCCGAGAGTTGAAATAAAAACTAAAGTTCTTGTGGTTCGTCTTCCTCTTCCACTGTGGCTCTGGTCATGTGGGGAAATGAAATTAAATGGAAATATACAAGCATGGGCATTAAGCAATACACACAAACACTCTATATGCCTCTCTCTGCCTCGCTCGCTCTCTCTGCCCCACTCGCTTGCGCTGTGCATGAAACAATGAACTGAGCTGCACAATACAAAACGAAAGACTTAGGCAACGAACTTGCCCTGGGCTTACCAGCCACAACAAAAAGTAAAATAAGCGCACAAAATTCTTTTCGCCTTGCTTTGTTTTTTGTTGTTGTTCTTGTTGTTGCTGCTGTTCTTTGTTTTTTTTTTTTTATTCTTTTTTCTATTCTTGTGCTTGGCTTCGGGTCAGCAATTCAGGGACTGTGCTTTGTGAACTGTCACAGTGTAAACGTCACTTAATAAGCCTTTTTTTGCAGCAGCCCCATCTTAAATTGGCCAACTGTAAAATAATCCCAGCAACGAGCTAAGATGAATGCATAACAAAATAAAGTAAATCAAATATGCTCAATATTTGTAAATAAAGGTTGTAGAAATATTTAAAGGAAATTCTGTTAAAATAAATTGCATTTTATGGAATTGTTTCGAAGGAATTGCTGTTAACAGTATGTTAATATAATAACATTTTATAGAATCAATGCAGAAATGCTGTAAACATTATATAAATGTTAATAACATTTATATTGAGTTTACTAAAATGCTGTTAATGTTATGTTTATAATAATAAAAATATTATTAACATTACATTTGTAACATTTGATTGATTTGCATTTTCAAAACTGTTAACATTATGTAAATATAAATAATATTTTAAATTGATTGTAAGGAAATGTTTTCAGAAATATTAAAATATAGAATATATTTTATAAATAAAATGAAAATATAAATAAATTAATTTTTTCATATTGTTTTATATTGTTAAGAGCGATTAAAATATTTGCAAACATTTCGAACAAGTCGAAGATATCGTCTAAAAGCTGACTATGTTAAACGAGCTGCGGATATGGCCGACTATTTAAAGATATATTAAATATCTTCAAGCGCCAGCAATTCAGGCTGTTTATTATTTAATAATTATTCAAATATTTTTTGCCTACTCTGTGCCATGTGAAACTCATACAAAAAGAGAACTCATGCAAGCAGAGAAAAGCTGAAAAACTTTATGAGAACAAAATCTATGCCCAGCTCAATTTAATGCTCTATAAAAAATAAAAAAAAAACTATGCTTAGCATTTCCACATGCAACAGAGGTATTGAAATACAAATCGAGTGGCTAGTCTGCCTTCGATGCCAGCCGTTTTATCAATTGACAAACAAAATATTCGAAAAGTGCAACGTGGCTGCGTTTCGTGAATTCTCTCACAAGTTTTCAAATTACCAAACAAATTTCTGTTGGCAAATATTTATGCAGATAATGTGGCCGAGGCGGATGACTCATCGGCAACATGATGAACACCAGGCTCATCATCATCACGCAGTATGAGTTCTTTTTGTTGTTTCTCTTCTTTTTTTCCCCCATTTTTTTATTCATTTTTTTTTTTTTTTGGGTGATTGTTGATCGCTCGCACTTCAAAGCGAAATTTTCAATATGCCGCATTTGCTTTGGCCAAGTCAATTTTTTGCTGCTTCTTTAACGTTTTTATAGTTTATTTTTCATTTTTGGTGGGAGCTGCTCATTAACATGTCATAAACCGCAAGCGAAGTAAAAAGAAAAAGGTTGGACACACAATAAAAAATTGTTGGAATAATAGTAGAAACAATTGATGGCTAGAGCGCAGCGGGTTTTTTTTTTTATCAATTGAACAACAGTTAGCAGCCGCAAGTTTTATTGTTTATAAATCAAATTCATTGTTGTTCTGTGCTCGAGTGCATAATTGTTGAAGGCGAGGAGGCGGCAGTCAGCGCAGTGGGCGATGCATGCGTCCCAAAATGGACCCAAAACATGACATTTGACATGGTATACATATAGATGTAGATACGTAGATATATATGTATATATATAGAAATCCAACTTGTTTGCTGAAGCAGGCGGAGAGCCAATCAAAGCGTATCGCTGACATAAACGTCTGTGCGATCTGCAAACGTCACGTCGTGTCCTGCACAGGCCATCAACTCGGGCAATCAAGTCAATTAAACAAACAACCTAACCGCGCACAGAGCGCAGAGTACGGAGCAGAGCGTCTGGCTGAGCTAATACTAGGAGGCCAGATTGGTCTGTTCAAGCTCTGATCGTATCGAGCTGATCGGTAAACGGCAAAACTTAAACACAGTTTGGCACAAAAGCTCGTGAAATTTTTGCAAATTTGCAAAATAATCATTGAGAGCTCTCTGTGCACCAATTCGAAATCAAGACAAAATGTGGTAAATGTGTGCCACAGTGCAGCCAGACGAGGATTGGCCAACAAAAAAATGTATAAATAGTAGACATCTTTGGGCAGATGCTAAAGATCAAATACCCTATAGTCTGGATTTTCACTATGGTCATATTTAAATATAGTAAATAATTGTTAAGATATCTTAACAAAATAATGAAAACTATACGAAAAATGCTGTTTGTGGCAGATATATATACATATTATTCATGACAGATATTGTGAACAATTCTAATAATGTGATTTGATCTGAACTACCATTTGATATGTGCTGCCTGCAGAAAATGAGATTACAATAAAGCTAGGAAATATATAGCCATATATGATTTATTGATCGCATATATAGTGAACTAATAATAATACCCAATGCAAGGGTATTAGTGCATAAAAATGTAATAGCTCAAGCCTTAGCTGGCTGCCTAAGCTACAGTAACTGTTTCCGACTCAATGGCTGACAAAGTTCAAGTGATGTTATCGCACATTGAGACAGGGAAAGAGCATGCGCCCGAGAGAGCGAGAGGAGGATAGAGAGAGGGAGAGAGAGAGAGGGATTGAGAGAGAGCGAGCAGCAGATCACTTACATATGTAAAGACTGCAATGGAGCAGTTTCTACTGGCCCGATCGTGCCGTTGATGATCAGAGACAGCCACAAAGTCTGCGACAGGGGGGGCAGCCAGCGTGCGCACAAGAGACTAAGAAACCAAGAAACCAAGAGACGAGGCAAATGTACTGCCACATGGCTTGATCATCAGCAACGATCGTTTCAGTCCGAGTCCACAGAAAATGTCGTAAAACCAACGACAACGACAAAAAAAAAAAAAAAAAACGCGGTCGCATTTTTAGGCTAAAAGCTAAAGCGCTTTTATGTAATTGCCAGCTAAAGATAGTGATAGCAAAATATTTGGCCAAAAAGAGATACGACTAGTAGAAGAGGACGAAGACGAAGGCGAAACAGTTCAGCGGCTACCGTTGACTACAAGCTATGTGGAGATCACTCACGATCGCTCAACAGGGACTTTTGTGAAGAAAGAGAGCACATTGTGTTAATGAAAAGCCCAGTTAGAGTCAATAAAGATCAGCGCTTGATCGGATCAGCTTTAGAATATGTCACAAGGCAGAGAACTGGTTAAACAGACTAACTTAAAAGACAGCTCGATTGTGCCTTAGATCAGCTTAATTACTGATCAAGGCGCAAAATGGCACAAGATCACATGCGATCAGCTTCAAAATGATTTTAAATAATGGCATAAGTAAATGTGGACTAATTAATGAGTTTAACGGCAAGAAATTGTAAAGCAGCAGCCAATGAAGATCAGTCGTAACGCTTTGATCTGTCAGAGATGAGCTTGAAAAGCTGAATTAGCTTACGATCGGCTAACAAATAATACATGAGCTTCATTTAAAGTGCTCAACGAAAGCGCCCTCAATCGTGCGGTAGATCATGCAAAGATCACTGAAAGCTGATCATGCCAGTCGCTAGTCGCTCGAGAAAGGGAGAGAGAGAGAGAGGGAGTGAGGGGAGGACTGGCTGCTTGGCAATGCAATCGATGTTCAAACACTGGCAAGCACAATGCACGCCCAGGGTTTGGTTTTTTATTTCTTCTTTTGTTTTAATTATGCCATGTTCGCAGACTCGTTAAATTTTGACAGAGTCTGTCAAAATTGAAAACAAGTACGCGCCGCGTATAGCGCGTCGCAACCATATCATAACTCAGCTCAAGTTATGCGTTGCGTACGTGCCACATTTGTTTGAGCCGCATTCGCATGTGATTTATTACAAAAGCAGACCGACAAAAATGACGACAACAACAAAAAAACACACACACACACACAAAAGTAGAAAAGAAAACCAAATGCATTGCCACGCAAAATAGAGGCACAACAAAATGTTGCAAGCACTTGTAGTTAAAAAGCAGCCTGATAATTTAAACATAATCGACAAAACCGGGCAGAGGCACGAAGTTGAGTCGCGCTACGTCTCTGGCTCTTGAGCCTTCTGTGCGGGCGGTGCGCTTTTGTCTGCCATAAAGGAAATTGAATTTCAGCTCAGTTTCAATCCTTTCGGTTGTCGTTTTCATTTTTGTACTCTCATTGTCTAGACGTATTTCAGGCGAATTCTTCATACGTTTGGCTTGCTTTGTTTGCCGGGCCAAGAAATGTCAATGCGCATTGATGCCAGAGCCTCAATTTCAATTTGTGTGTGTGTGTGTGTTTTTTTTCACGTATGTCCTTGAAATGACCGCAATTGATTGACATATGCAAATTGTTGCTGTCAAACAGCCCAAAACTTATGCTAATAACTGAGCAAATCAATTCAAGTTCATGGCCAATATATTTGACAGCCCAGATCTGCCCTGCCCCGCCTTGCCCCTTTGTCGCGCTGCTGTTGCCGCATAAATTAGCATTAATTGACGGGCCTCTCGGAGACAGAAACGCTGTAAACTGGGTTCTAATTAATGAACGCTTCCTTCCGCTGGCTTTCTATATTTACATATATATGCATATGTGTGTTTGACTGGGATTTACTTACGCGCAGTAGGATTTGCCATTCGCTTGTGTGATGCATGTGCCGCCATTTTTGCAGCCCAATGTGGTGCAGGAAATGGCCAGAGAGGTGCCGGTTTCTGTGAATATGAAACACAAATTGATTAGAATACGATTTATAGTAAATATATTACAGTATTTAAACAATTACAGTAATTTTCAATATTTAACGAATTAGAAAACAAAATTAATAAAAATATGTATCGCTCTCTTGTTCACAATGTTTCAATCGATATTTCAACTAATCTGATTTATGCTTATATTTAAAATTTACATATATCTTTATGTTCAAAATGTTACATAAACTGGTCGAAAGGCCCTGAAAATTTCGCCAAAATCAACATTTTATATACAAAATATACAATCGGAATTCTCACAGATATCAATTGTAAAGCTTTGTATATTTATTAATAATATTTCAATAGATATCAACAAAAGTACATATTTATTAAATAGACATTAGCATACAATTCTGTCATGTCTAGAGTGTTTGGCCCAAAAGGCAAGAGGTTCGTATTTCCCTGCTCTATGCGCTCATCCAGTTGTTGTTGTCGGTACAGGGGTGGGAAGGGAGAGGGGGGCTGGGCTTATGGCATAGCCGGCATGTCAAAGCCGACGCACAGCGTTGACAACAACGTTCAGCAAATCGCAGCAAGAATAAGTAGAAGAGCTCAAACGAACAACAACAACAACAACAACAACAAATAAATAAGGTTCAGTGCACTTCAACTGGCCAACAGCGAGAAGGGGAGCTTCGTAATGTAAAATGCTTGTGCAATTTGCTGCTGGCAGCAAAGAAGAAGACACGACAAAACCGAGAATATGCTTATATGTACGTATTTCATTGAAAAAAGTTGACACACAAATTCAACAAACGTGCCGCGCGCCAAATCGCCCCAATGTTTGCTAATTGGGCGTGTGGCGATTTCCTGCCACGACAGGCAGGCACAGCCAGCGAGCAGTTACTCTAGAGGGGCTCACGGCGGGTTGAGTGGGGGGGTGAGTGGGGCTGGCAGCAGACAACAGGCGACAATAAGTTTTGATTGCCCAGCACAATAAATAAATAGCTTTGTCTTCGCAACGAGCGCAAAAAAAAAGAGAAGAAAAAAAGTAACGACAAAAAGGCAGCAAAAGAAATATATCTTAAACTTTGGCAGCACTTGACGCCACCCTCCCTCCGCTCCCAACCCCTATACATACACATACATATATTTATATGTGTGTATATATAGATATGGATATGCATGTGCTAGCTAACCATTTTTTTTTTGTTTCACTGTGCGCCGCTTGGCATTCGAAATGCAACACGAAATTGTCGCGAATACGTAAACATAAATTTCGCATTTGAATGATCGATGGGCCAGACACACACACACACACACACACACACGCGAGAAGCGAAAAAAAAGGCAAATAAGCCCGGCATAAATCTTGGCCCAGCGAAATTTCAAGCCTGAGTCATACGCGGCGTATGCATTATATTGCGAAATTATTTTATTTTATGCGAACACAGCAGCAGGAGCGATAGCAGCAACATGTTGCCGCACATACAGACAGCAGCATGTTGCTATACATTGTTGATTGTCTTAATTTTTTGCAACATTATGTAGCCAGCTGCGCATTGCCTGTCTGCACATCTGTGAGTCTGTGTGTGTATAAACTAATTGACCTCAATTAGCACAGCATAACAAAAAATAAAAAAAACAGCAAAAATACAAAAAAAAAAATCAGTAAAATGTATTATTCGCATTGTTAAGGTGCGGTTCTTGGGAGCAGCAAGAACAAATACGCCGAATATTATTTGCATTATTATCTTGAAAGCGTGATCAGGTAATATTTCATTTTAAATGTGCGGTTTTAGCTGAGCTTTTATCAAAAAAACATATGACACGAGGCAAAAAAGGGTCCAAAAATCAAGCTGTATGCTTAAGGATTTAGCAATGAATCAACACAGCTCAGTTTAGAAGCTTTCAATAAGAAGAACTTCCTTTTCCTACAATAACAAAAGGAAAACCTAATTTCGGAAGCTTTCAAAAGATGATCTATGTTGAAAAAAATCGAGCTTTCAACTAGAGCTTCTACAATAAATGACAAAAGCTTTAGTTCAGAAGCTTTTACATGACTAATTGTGAAGAAAAATCAAGCTTTTTGCTCCATTTGCTACGTAAAGCTCCGTTCAGAAGTTTTTAAATGATATATGCATGAAAAATGTAAGCTTAATTCTTCAAATTAACAAAGCCCAGATCATTAACTTTCAAAACCATTAAAGGGCTACAAGAAAATCAAGTTTAAAGCTTGATTTCCTACAATAAATAAACAAACTTTCATCAAAAATCTCGAAGAGATTTGCTGCCAAGCTGCATTTCTATTGCAGCCTTTTCTAACACTAAATTAATCAACTACTTAAGCAACTAGTTTTAATTTATTCACTAGCTACTGTGAACTAATTTGTGACTGCTACTCCGGCGCGCCCCGCCCCCTTCTCCAACGAGCGGCCGTGAGTCACTTGGCCAGCTGCTGCTGAAAAAAACAAAAACTGTCAACTTATCCGCATTTTTTTTTTCTATTTCTATTTTTTGTTTAATTTTTTTTTTTTAGTCTTGGGTAAGCTTTGTAATCTGTTTGGTTTGCCGCTGTGGGCGTGGCCAGTTTGGCATTAATGAATTAACAGGCCACGCTGGGCCATTCAACGCTTCATCGACAGAGCGTGAAACGCTTTTATTTATATTTTTTTTTTTGTCTGTTTTGATTTTTATAAGGTACGTTTTTTTTTTGTGTATTGCGTGTGATTTACCGCACAATGAAAAGTGCTATACAAATCGGTTGGCGCACTTGTTTGGGCCTTTTGCACGGGCGTTTAGTCGGACGCTTGGCGATGCAAGCAAGTGTAACGTGTTGCCAGCCCACTTACACTAGTCAGAGACCCCGCCTCCTCTCTCCGCCCTCGCACTCAGGTGCTTCGACGTGTTGTTTAGACAAATGAGCGGTTAATTGCTCGTGTTGCTGCAGCTGCACATAACTAGGCTTAAGTTGTAGCATAATTTAATGAATGCCAATTATATTATACTTTAGCTAACGCAAAAGTCGCATCCTGCTGATCAATCTTCTCTCTTTAAATCCTACTTTGGTTCCATATCTAGTCACAAGTTAATCACAGTCCTAATCAACTTGACTAACTAACTTTACTGATCGGCTCCCAACTAGATCTCTAATCTCTACAAGGATTTTAAGTCCCGATTTTTTTAATTAGTAACAAATATTTGGAATGTTGTCTAACATTCGTTTGTGGGCCAGTTAGTGCGCCGCATTGTTAGCTCCGTGTTTTGTCAGCTGTGTGATAAACTGCCGCCCATGTGGCGTTGCGAAGGAGGCGGGGTTAGTGTGTGTGCGTGTGAGTGTGCGTGTGTGTGAGTGTGCGTGTGTGTGTGTATGGCAGGGGTTGCAAACAAATGTCAGTGGCCGTTATAAATGGCGCTTATCGAATTTAAATTTTTCGCCGCTGCCACACACACACACACACACACACACACTGAGCAAATAACAAACAAAAGCCACCCAAAAACGCTATCAGCATAATAAGCAACAGCAGCAACAGCAACAATAACAACAAAAGCAGCAACAACAGCGGCGAAACTAAAACTAAAACAAAGACAAAAATAAAAAAAAAAAACACAGCAACAACTTCGACAGCGACAAGTAAATAGCAACAACAACAACAACAACAAGAAAAAACACATAAAAGCTACAACAACAAAAACAAAACCACGGCCAAAAATTTCTCACGCTTTTCTCCAGCGTGCAAAGGCGCGCACTATAAATACATATAAACAATTTTTTATGTGTGTATACACAAGCATATAGAAACATTTAACATATATCTATAAAATATATATACTTTATATATAAATAAAACTATCAAAAAACCGCAGAGCGCAGTTATAAAGCAAAACGGCATATGTCATTAAATAAAATAACAATTTATTTAACAACAAAATAATAATGAACTGTTAAATTGAGCCCCCGCTCGACTCTCTCCCCAAAAAACCGCATTACCCACACAAGGAATGGGGAGGGGAGCGGGGCGTTATAAAACGATATTGCTTTAATTGTACAGTTACACATATCAAATGATCTTTCAGTCCAAGCAAATGCATAAAACCTTCACATATTCAAAAATTGCACGACCAGGAAATACCCCGAACCTTCTTCTACCCACACCAAATGCAGCTCTGGGTAGGGAGAGGGTGCAGGGATGGAACTAAAAGTTACTAGACCTGTCTAAACTATTCCAGAAGCTATGTGTCAAATTTGTTGACACCAGACTTGAAGACCTAATTTCGATATCGATTGTTAATCGCTCACTTGGAAACGAGGCAGGGTTTCGATTATCGGAGGATCTACAGGCGGACATGGCTAGATCTACTCGGCTTCTGATGCTGTTCAAGAATATATATGCTTAATGCCTAGGGAGATGTTTCCTTCTGCCTGTTACATACATTTGCACACAACTAATATACCCGCTCTACCGCCTGTCATATAGAAAGTACTGAAAATTGGAAAGCAAAGTGTGCCAATTAGCGAGCGGGCACTGTACTTTATGGATGCGAGCGTGATGGCTATTCGAGTCACAGTTAAGCTGTGCAAATCTTTGACAAGCAAATTTTATGTTATGTTTCTTATTAATCAAAAACTATTAAGAAAACTAAATAAAATGCACGGCCTTTTTAAAAAGAATTTAAAAGCTTATAAAAAACTCGATGAGCATAGCGTAAAATGGATTTTCATTCAATTCGCATTCAATAAAGTCGCAGTTTGGCAAGACAATGCAAAATGCTCGGCCCCAAGACCCAGTTTTATCTTGAAGGGGAGCTAAGGGGGACAACAACAACTACAACAACAACAACAACAACAACTACAACAACATTTGCAACATGCAAGTGTATATGTTTTTTTTTTGTTTGTTTTTGTAATATTTACAAGGAAACGAGCCTCTTCGTGTGCCACAATCTCGAAATGCTTTAAACGAGCGTCATAAATTCTACTACCGAAATTTCGATATGCCCGAGTTCTCAGGCTTTAT